ACACGTGTATTCTTTACCTCCCATCCCTATGATTAACATGCATATTTTGCTGTCAGAATCTCAAGCGGAAGTAAAAGCATTGAAATTCATAGAATTCCAATGGACATTAATTCATGCTCATTTGTGGCTGTCGGGATAAGTATTCAGAGGTAGTGCGAGTTTCATTTGGTGCATGTGCGGGTGGTTGAGAAAACCTTTTTTTCGTCGTTCAGAGGGCTTAACGCATAAATATGGCCGCCTCTGGAGCTCAGCTGTGTTATTCCAGCCCGTCCCACACCTAGGAGACACAGAAATGCACACGCACGCCTGGAGCAAGGTCTCCTGCAGGATAGCATTGATCTTTGTTTATAGTCTCTGTATGGGTGCTTCCTTATAGGACCACACAAGCATGTACTCATTGTAACTCACACAGACCTACACTGTAAGAGGCTGAAAAGCCTTGCGTTTGTCTTTTATAGGATTATTAATTGGGCCTGTTCAAGGAGCCCCATTGGTAGAACATCGTCCTTTAGCTGTGGGTGGGATGGAGGTGGTGTTGGAGGTGGGGGACCTTTCCTCGAACTGCCTTGCTTGTCTACAGTTGTGGTTCAGATCTCATTTCAGTAGGGCCTCTCAGTTCAGTCCAACCAAACAGATTGGATTCCAGTCCAGTGGCTTTTTCTCAGTGAAGTTTTAGAAGGCTATCTTTGGTCAAACGGATCCCACGTTAAAGCTCCAACTGCTGCAAGTGGTGTAGATCATAGAAGCTCTAACAGGGAAGAGTCGGATTTAGGTGTTGCTCTCCTTCCTGTCTGAAGCTCATAAGATAATTGAATTAATGTGCAAGGCTAAAGTTAATGGGCACACGCAGATGGGCCTTAAATATCTATTTGCTTCTCTGTTTCTATCGCTTTGCTTTTTGTTGACTCACTTTCACACCAGCCTATTTGTATCATCCTATTTCCCCCCACTGAAATCACTTATGTATTCAGAATCTCACACACACACACACACACACACACACACACACACACACACACACACACACACACACACACACACACACACACACACACACACACACACACACACACACAGGACTGCATGGTGCCATATTAGATTTAGGTGACAGTCACTCACGGACCAATTCAGCCAATAAACTTAATGACCTCCCCACTGCTGGGCCAGAATTTTCTCCATTGACTTGGAATCTTAATTTGATTGCGGAAATATATGTATGTTGCTCAATCTAATTTACTCCAGTGATTTTTAGAACACTGAGCACTTTTGTGCTTAGGCAAGCAAACTCTTCTGGCCCGGCCCCGATACTCGCCGCCTGCCTTCATGTGGGAAGCTAAATCCTGTTTTATATGCGGCGTATAAAGGCGGCATTCTTCCATCACAGCAGATGTATGGTGAAGGAGTTGCAGGTCTTAGTTTGGGCCTTTCCTCCCTGAAATAAGAGCAGGAATCTTTCTGGGACCCCTTGTTGTTGAATAGATAGAAGTGGCCCTAGCTGGTCAAGAGAGTGCATGCTAGCTTATCGGTATACAAGTTCAAAACCAGAGAGAAAGATAGAGTGAAGCTCTATTTGGGGGAATGCTTTGATGTGGATCCCTCCAAAAAAGTGTGGGTGGTCTGCAGTTCTTTGTGGGATTTGAACATATATATATATACATACGCTAATTCTCACTCACTCTTTCACACACAGTTCTCGCTGCCTTACATAGCTCCTAGGGCCAAGTGTGATTTCACCAGGGCGGTCACAAGGGGTTTCTAGGGCAACCTCACAGAGGCCTTGTTCTAAAAATGGCCGCCATGGTTACTTTGAAAGCCAACCCTGGCCTCATGAACATGCACAGAAAAGAGCCCTGAGCAGCACTCGGGGAGGGGAGCTGGGTGGACTGGGTGAGGGGGGAACCAGGCTCTTTAATAGCTAGCACATGAGACATTGAAGGTTTCATACCATCCCAACCAGGAGTCATGGGAGGTTTGTGTGTGCCTCCGTGTTAGTGTACCTAAACAGTAATAGCCCTGTACCCAGTGCTTGGCTAAATTAAAAGGGCATTTTTGGCATGGGGGGGGGGCAGTTTTTGGTGCCCAGACAAATGGACAGGGAAGGCGAAACTCATTACCTACCCATCTGTCAGAGAGTGAGAGCGAAAGAGCTGTGGGAATGTGGATGGAGGGAGGGACACATGAAAAGGGCTTGGAAGTGGTGAGAGTGAGAGTGTCTGTTAAAGCAACACAGCTGACTTTTCCAACAAGTCTTTAATCACAAACACTTTTCATACTACATGCATTTAATTTTTTCGCAAAGTATTCCTGTTATTTTCCAAGTGGAAAAAAGAAAAATAAACATTTAAAAATAATAATCTGCAGCTGCTTTAGCTGTGTGTGTGTAATTCGGAAAGTACTGAGTAAAGTTTAACTGACAAAACACGTGTGTGTGTGTGTGTGTGTGTGTGTGTGTGTGTGTGTGTGTTCACATCAGAGGTTGATTTTTCTTTGAGCTCTCTCAACCCCACATGTTTTTGATGTTCTCTTTTTCGCTCCCCTCTCTGGACCAGGGGCCACTCTTGAAACATAAGCTGTTGTCACACACACACACACACACACACACACACACACACACACACACACACACACACAAACTAAATGTATTAGCAAATATTAAAAGCATTTGCTAATTTTTATATCATTACAGAAAAAAGTTAGCTCTCCTTTCTTCAACCAGCTGCACCATGTAAACCTTTTTGTCTCGTTTAAGAGTGACTCAGTATCTCTCTCTCCCTCTCTCTCTCCCTCTCTCAGCTGTATATAGGCTATGATCACTGCAGATGCAGATTGCTGCCATACCCCTCTTCTGTGGATATTGTTAACTAACATGTACTTCCTCTGCCAGTTGGCTTTCACAATGGAAAAGCATATCTCCATGGCAATGTTCTGCCGTTCTGCACCGTTGGATATTTGCTGCTAACACTTATAATACAATAACCAAACATGGCTATTTCTGTTGTGATTCTTTTGCAAATATGCAGGATTGCGAAATCTGTGCTAATGGAGCTTTTTGAATATTACATATCTATTTTTCTATAAGGCCTAGGTCTCACTCGTGTATATGGTGGTTAAAAGGGTTTCCTGACTGAGTCTTTGTGCTTAGGGAGAGAAATATAACCAGCTTGCTTTATTTTTCTGTCCAGCCTAAGGGCATCAGCACACTATAGCTAACGGTTGTCACCCTATTTACTTTCTGCTCTCTATTTCTTCTTATGCACCTGCATTCTTAGTGCAACCTTTAACCATAAGTGGTTTAACCTGACCTCTGTTCATCTTGCTTGTGTTCCCCTCACCCATTTCCATCTATATCTTATAAAATATTCAAATCCCTCCCTTCTTACTTAATATAGAGGCCTAGAATACACTTTGATATTTGCGTTAATACATGCTTGATATCACAGCAATGCGTGTGCTCAGTCCTTTGATAAAAGTATTTAAGAGATCTATGTCTTTGCCTGGTCCACATGCATTTCAGCGATCTCTCCTGTGCACATAAATGCATTCATAAGCTCCTCTCTGCCTGTCCTAACCACTCCCATTATTAATAAATGCATGATCTCACACAGCTTTGCGGTGTGTGCGTACATGTGTGTCTCTTTCATATGCTCATCAGTGTGTGTTTTAGGCCACTGCCGGGGACCCCGCCCTGCTCATTCATATTCATCCTCGCATAATGACTAGCCGCGCCTCCGGATAGCGCAGTCAAGATGAGATCAAACATTATACTCAAACAAGAGGCTGTATAATTCATACTGTAACAGCCGTGCTCACGGCTCACTCCCTCATATCTCTCTCAGTTCCCCTGCCAGTGCATCCCCGATCCGAGACCCTGCATCTAGGTTTCTGTCGCTTTCATTGACTTTCACATTCATGACTGAAGTCTGCAGCTGGTCCTGATCGTGCTCTGAAGATAAGAAAAAATGGGCCCTTTTGGCAGGTGACTGTCCAACTGAGTCTGTTTCATCCTGAGCGTGTTCATTCCTAAAGACATGTATACAGTAATGTCATTTACTAAAGGGCACAGTCAATGAGATGATCAAGTTATCCAATTTTCATTTAATAGATGTTTCGGACAAACCTCCAGTTGTTGGCTCTGTATGGAGACAATACATGCCAGCTCTTATCTCTGAATTACTTGATGACGATGTACCTCTCATTGTACTTATAATCAAAGTTGCTCTGCTTGAAACTTAATAGCTCAAATGTGCTGTATTGATTTATCTCTTTCTGAGTAAAAGCAAACAAATTGAGTGGCGCAGGGATTCAACTAATGAACATTTGCATCAGTGATTGGGGTGAGGGTAGGGCTGCTCGATTATGGCAAAAATCATAATCTCGATTATTTGGGTCAATAATTGATATCACGATTATTAAAAAACGATTATCCATTTACTTTGAAAACATCAATTTATTGGAGAAAGAAATGTGAACAGTATGTTTTTAACAGTTGATTACCCTGAACTTTAAGTATAATTCAACTGAAAAACCAAAAAAATAATAATAATTGAAAAAAGTTTTGATTACGTTGTTTTCGTAATCGTTGCAAGCCATAATCGTAATTGCGATTAAAATATGATTAATTGAGCAGCCCTAGGTGAGGGTGATTCATTTATCTTATAAATCAATTAATATATGTTCTATAAAATGTCCCATAAGCCCATCACAAGTTCCCAGTACCCAGATATTCATTGAACTCTCAAGACAAAGAGCATTTGCGAGATATCTGAGAATCTGGAACCAGTTACATTTGGACATTTTCGATTCAGAAATGATATCAGATCTTAGCAGATCATCAAAATGTTGTAGCTTGGTTTAATTTAAATGAATATGAATTTCTGCTATGGAGTAAACATGTAAGGATGAGACAACTGTAACTGAAGGAATACCTGTACCTATTGTTAATCTCTTTAAAACAAGATATCTTTCTTGACATTTTGTTCTTCTCTTTCTCCCTTGTTCAGGTTTCCATCTCAGCGGCACAGTGACGGACCCCGCCACACCCTCCGCCCCAGAACTAGTTTGCAGCGTGAGCGTCAGCTTCGACCGCTGCAAGATCACAGCAGTAACATGCACCTGCGGCAACAAAGACATATTTTACTGCGCCCATGTAGTGGCGCTGTCGCTTTACAGAGTACGGAAGCCCGAGCAGGTCAAACTGCACCTGCCCATCTCAGAAACACTGTTCCAGATGAGCAGAGACCAGCTGCAGAAGTTCGTCCAGTACCTGATCTCAGTCCACCACACCGAAGTGTTGCCTACTGCGCAGAAACTGGCAGACGAAATCCTGTCCCAGAACTCGGAGATCAACCAGGTCCACGGTGAGGAAACTGTGTGTGTGTGTGTGTGTGTGTGTGTGTGTGGATGTGTGTGTGTGTGTGTGGTGTGTGGTGTGTTGTGTGTGTGTGTGTGTGTGTGTGATGTGTGTGTGTGTGTGCTGTGTGTGTGTGTGTGCTGTGTGTGTGTGTGTGTGTGTGTGTGTGTGTGTGTGTGTGTGTGTGGTGTGGTGTGTGTGTGTGTGTGTGTGTTGTGATGTGTGTGTGTGTGTGTGTTGGTGTGGGTGTGTGTGCCTGTGTGTGTGTGTGTGTGTGTGTGTTGTGTCTGTCAGAGAGTAGGTGTGGGGCCATGTTATGAACCTTGCCGGTGTGTTTAATTTGTTGTGTGTTTTTGCCCTCCGTAAACTGCAATGCTCTGGTATTGACTGCCATGAATGAAGGTAAAGCGTGGCAGGATCAATAATGACTCATTAGTGAGATCCAGGAGAGTAAAGAGAGGAGAAATGTGTGCTCTAATCCAACACGTAGTAGACCCGGTATTTACCTCTGGAGCGACGGAGAACCATACAGAGACAGAGGCCCTTTCTGTGAGCGTTAAAGAAGAGTGCATTGCTCTTCGATACTGCCACTTAACAGTCCTTTTTTTTCTCCTAGAAGGACATTTATTTGCTTATGCATCCAAGCTTATTATGTCTCCACCATTATTTGGCATGTTAACAATCAATGCTATGTGTTACAGAGTAATTGGTTATTTGTTTTTGGGCGTCCTTTTTACAAATTACGCTATGAATACACAAAATATCTGTCAAAATACTTAATAGAGATGAGAACAAGTGAGGCGTATGTCCGATTTAATAATAGTTACTGCTGCTGTTATCCTGCTGCTGCTGCTTATATTACCCCTTCTCAGACTTAGACTGAATCACCCTATTTATTTATTACAAGTACTACATTTTTCTCAAATAACTCCCATGGATTTCCTGAACTCAAGCGTGCTGCTTCATGCTCTCGTTCAAACACGCCATCAAAAGCCCCCAAGGATATTAAGAAAAAAAATCCTTGCAAAACCTGGATCCATGATCAAAATAGCCTTGCCCTAATCATTTTCTGTGAAATGGAATTATACATTACTGGCCTTCAGTGCTGAGTTGTTCTCTTGTAATTCTAATGACACAAAATAAATATTGCCAACATACGTAGTGCTTTGATCTGAGACAATGTTTATCTTCTCGCCCAAATATGGGTAGATGGTTTATATTTCATTTTTCATTGTTAAATGATTTTACAGTCAGGGTGTAATGGTAAAATGTACATTCATAGCGACAAGTTAAGGGTGGGGCGTAGGTAAGTTGGAGAACCGGCCTCGACATACACTTTTTGTTATCTAAAATTCCATGCGAAATGCTTCTTAAAATCCCGTAGCCACAGCTCTTAGTGCCCTTGACAAAAAATCCATGTAAAAAAGATGTCATCTGTGCGAAGCCGCTAGTACTGTAAAAAGCACGACCAATCATTTTAGCCGTCCGGCTTAAAGGGAGTAGCAGATTTTTCCAGTTGCTGTATTTTCAATCTAGCCTCACTCGAGCTCGGTTTTCTCCAAATTTCTACCTCCCACCTTTAAGGGAATATGTTAAGATCTGTAAAGCGCTATTACTTATGTATGAGCGCTATACGCCTATTTTTTGGGAACCATGTATTCAGGCTGGCAAACTGCCACATTCACATTTGCTATTGCTATGTGTGTAGGGGCCCGGACCCCCAGCAGAGCAGTGTGGACCGATGAGTACTGCTGGCACTGGACGAGGAGCGGTTCAGAGCAAGTCAAGCCTTCTCCTGGTCGCAGCGAGCGCGTTACCACGCTCGGGCAAGCAACTCATCTCTCTTCAGCAAGCGTCAGGCAGGCCAGCGCATTGCTTCATCCTACATAACAGACATTACAACACACACGCACACATACAGCCACACTACAGCCACATTTACCGACCATTGAACGCTACAGAAATGCCAGTGCTATCCTTTGCCTGCTGTAACATCTTTCCTTTAGCTGTTCTCTTCTCTCTAAAAAGACACACACAGCCAGCCTCTGCTTCTCCCTCTGCATCCTGCTTAATACATATGCTTCGTACTTCTCTTATATTTCCTTTATGAAATAAAGAGCCCTCTCTCTGTTCAAGTGCATCCCAGGAGAAAACAACTTGCCATATATTGGCACTACACTTCAAAGGTGGGCCTGCCTCTTTAGCTGCAGCTATTGCAGAAAGGAAGTGCCTAACATAAAGAGAGAGAAAGCCTGCATAGTGTCTATCCTGTACCTGCGATAAAGCGATTACGATGAGAGGATGTGCGCTTCTCTCTGTTACAGTGGCAGCGCTAGGCCCAGCTATTTAATGTTGCTGCACTGTGTAAAAACTGCCAAGCAAGGCCCATTTCACCACCTGGGCCTGCTTTTAGAATGTTCTCTGCGGCTTTTATGCTCTTGATGCTGTTTTATTTGCTTTACTGCCACACTGACGCCACAGTATACGCTTTGTCTTTTCACACACCCACGGCGAGAGTCCGCTACCCATTTGTATGTACACGGCTGGCCCTCAAATGATAACACACACCCACTGAATATGCGTCCGTATGATATACTTATGTAGGTGCCTCTTGTTTCTTTGTGTGCTTTGTACAAACATGTTTCACTTCCCTGTTACGCATAGTAGCCAAATCCAGCGTCCATAAAGTAGCATGACCGATTTATATTCCCAGAAATTGGTTAATCAAAGAGTGGGTGTATGTTTGTTGGGCTAAGAGATGCTGCATCTACTTATGCTTTACAATGAAATTAGCTCATCGTTTGTATTAAAGATAAAAATGTATCTACACCCGAGAGTTCATATGGTGGGGGAAGCCTCAGCTGCTGCTAGGCAGGCAAACCACTCAAGTAGAAACACTGTATATAACTTATAAATTCTTTTGTCTATGGAATTTGCTGTTCGTTTGTTGATTATTATTGGATTTATACATATACCTTTTACATATATATAGTTTTTTCTTTGCAAGCTGCTTCAACAGACATTTCCTGATTTGAAAGAATGAAAACTATAACTAGCTTTTTTGTACAATTGTGTCTGTCTTTTGTTTCATGCAAGGTGATATGGGAGTACTCGTAA